GCGTATATGTAGGACATACATTAAAATACCTCCTCCAGACCATGCTGGAATAAAATTGCTATGCCCCACGCTGACAAATTTGTTAGTCCTAACATCTCCCTTATATAAAAAACCATACAAAGAAACAAAATTTTGCCCCTATTTTGTTAGAATTGTGTACATAGCATATCTATATGCCTCGGCAGTAATATTTATTTCCGCAAACCTAAGAAGTACCTGACTCGAGTGCTTTTGACTTTGATCGTCTTAGGTAACATAGCTAAAATAGACTCCATGATTCATAATTTGTGATCTACTCAGTACCATAAACTAATGCTTTGCATCCCCCACTTATCAACCGATGCACAAGTAGTTTGCCAGTAGTCTGATGTTCTATGAGGACTCACTTCATATTCCCCATGCCTGCCTTTTAGTTAGCAATATTTGAAAATCACCCACAAATAACCTATTATGCTTCAGAGTGGGTGGCCCCTTGTCCTCCCGTTACATGTCTACACGTCCGTAGCCTCTTCTGGGTAACCCTTATCCAATAAGTTTACGCAAAGGAGATTTGACTCTCATCACCCTATGGTTGGACAAGGAAAAGTGTTAAATACATCAGATTTGCAACAGTGCATAACGTGTAGTGAAAAAGTCTACTAGTATAGTCGACAGTTACAAACTGCGTGCAAATAGACGTGATGTTCCTCCAATCTTCTTGTTGGATTATTCATCCATAAAATTACACCTAATTTATTCAATAAATTCCCTAAATTCTGTTCTTGTAAATATAGAAATGATGGTAATTAGTCGTAAATAACAGTATCGGTTCGCTGTTGGATAAAATGTGAGAACGTAAGTCTTTACTACAGAAAACATCGCACTGGTCATATCGGCTATCATAATTGGTAGTTGCTGCAATGTTGTGTTACTGAAATGTCCTTTAACACCATACCCTTAAGCCATAGTTACTTTTCAATTTCCCCTTCTATGTCCAGACTAACCTACTAGTTCGTTTAAATAGTCAAGTAGTATTAGTTTTGATATGCACTGGGTTAGTAACAGTGAATGCATGTTGAGTGTTTCTGTAACTTTAGCATACCACTTAATATTCCACCTGCTTGACAACTGAACTTTGAAGATAGACTTAACGTGAATACTCATCCAACTGGGTTCAGCTAATTTGGTTTATGTTACATCACATAGAGTTTTATTTTCATTCCCTATATAATACTGTCTTCAAAAGCTTTCATATCATAGACTTCAAACTGTAGAAAGCGGTCTATTATTTTGTATCAAATAAGCATCATATACTGTGAGATAGCAGTATATTCTTCTGTTTCCTTTGTACCCACTCTTGTGAGTGAACAAATTCATTCAAGTATTCAACAAAACTTCTTTTACCCTATTCACCTTATTACTTGCCTTTTTCAGACCCAATAAATAAATAACTACTGTTTCCATATTATCTATAACTACTGGCCATAGATAACCAATGGTTTGTCTTAGTTTCAAAATTCAAATGGCATTTCACGTCTGTTGGTTTGTACATGAGAATAGTAATAGAATGCAGTAAAGCATTTCTGTTACAGGGACACTACAAATACGAATACACACAAATGGAATAATACAACACCTATTGCGAATCAAGAGCAAACAATTACATAACACTTCCAACACTGACTGAGTTATGCAGTCATTGATTTGTGATATCTGCAAAGCCTTGATAATTTATTCTATACCCTGCTAGGTGAATAAAATCAATAACTTCGTGCCAACCCTGTGACAAGTAGTATTCCGTGTCTAGGTAAAGGTAGGCTCAGCACGAGATGACTGTTGTTCTTCTCTATATTAAGGTAGTTGTCAGCACTGAAATTCCATTTTGTATCCAATTCTGCAGTTATGTCATAGTTTGCATTTTATTGAAACAATAACGTCTGGGGAAAATGCATTAGTTTAATTCATGACCTCTCTCAAGTTACGTATAAAATGAATTACCTTGTATGGATAAACCTGTATGATACTAGTTGGGTAAATGAGTTGTTGTATATATGCAAGCCCCACAATTAAATCGATGTGATCCCGGTATATTTGTTTTATAAATTGTGTTTGGTGTATATATAAGAATTCTGTTTTGTGATCTCTCGTTTCCTATCTTTGTTGTAATGTTATAATGTAGTGTAATTATAAAATTATTGCCATTCCAAAATATTCTAGTTGTTCTTTGCGCACAAGTTGTTTATGATATTTTGTGTTACATGCAAAGATTTGAATAATAGATTAAATTTATTATTTTATTTTAATTTATTTTTATGAATTTTAGCATTACTGCTTGGACTGGATTGCTTATTCCGGTTGGTGTGTTGGTAGCAGCAATCATTGTGTATAAATTTTTGATGTGAACCCTTGTAGAAACATTTTCCTCATGTTTCAGGACCGTGATTTTGTTTTATGTATTAACCTCAGTCTGTATTATTCGTGCTTATGTGTCTTTGTACTTTCTGTCATTTGTTAATCAAGCGACTATAAAAACGTAAGGAGAATAATGAAAAAAGGGTTAGTTTTGATATAACTAGTCTTTACACTAATATACCAACCAATATGGCCTTAGAAGCGATTGAAAGAGAACTAACTTCTGATCCCGAGCTTAGTCATAGGAAAAAGCTACCCATTGAGAAAGTCATTTTAGGAATTCAGTTATGTCTCACGTCTACTATCTTTAAATTCTAGGGCGAAAAATGTAGACAAACAGGTGTAGCAATAGGAAAAAATATACCTCTTAATACATTTAATCCTACTCCAAAAATATGGTGGAGATATGTGGATAACACTTTCACAGTGCTGAAGACAGAACATACCTCCAGTTCCTTCCCACATATAAACTCACTAGGAATGGGAATAAAATTCACATTTGAATCGGAAAATGAACAAGGAGAGTTAGCTATGTTAGACTGCAAAGTAAAACGAACAGAAGAAGATAAACTGCACACTAGCGTTTATAAAAAGCCAACGGATTCTAGTAGATATTCAGACTTTAATTCATCTCATCCGTTGTCTGTAAAAGCAGACCTAGTTAAGTGTCTAACAAACCGAGCAATAGCACTAAGTAGTACAACAAAAAACCTAAACGATGAAATGAAACAGATAGAAGAGGCGTTGGTGTTAAATAACTAACCATCCTATAAAATTCATTAGGAAGATCAAGAAAGGTCAAAAGCAAAATAAAAGTAATGGTGAAGCTAATAATGATAACATAGATAAGAAGGAATATAGGGCATCTACAGTTTCATCATATAAGGAGGGGACATCTGAGACCCTATGTAGGATTCTCAATAAAGCGTTCAAAGCAATAGGGCATTCAAACCTACAAACTCACTCAGAGACAAGCTCTATAGACTAAAGGACGCAGTGGACCCAATTAAACAAAACAATATATTTTACAAAATACTTTGCAATAACTGTGAGTTAGGTCAAACTAGTAGATAGGGAGTAGTGAGACTATCAGAACATAAGAATTTAGCTAAGGTTACAATGATCGATCCCACGAAGATAAGCAATTTAGAAGAAAAACTCAGCAATCGCACCGCATGCATTAACACACAACCGCACAACAGGGTGGGTGGGACAGAGTCAAAATTCTAAGAAGTAATATAGGTAGAAGGAGAGAGAGAGAGATTATTTACTGAATCCTGCCTGGTTCATTGAGTCTACACCCAACACATGCAACAGAAATGACTCAACGCAAATACAAGAGATATGGAATATATATTATTACCAGTCAAATCAGAGGATAATAATGTTAAAATGTATTCAATTCACATTATAACATTCTAACAGGTTACTTATTTTACTTTAAAAACCATCTTATTTCCCATCCTATTGTATTTTATTGATAACACTGATATTATTTCCGAATGTACATTATCTTATATTGTTTTTATTCAAATGTCTAATTATCAATTTTTACTCACGTATATAAATGAAGCAAGAAAGTTGTGTGAGTAACTTGATATGATTGTGAACAATTTGTGCTCGAAACGTGGTCATCAGTAAATATTACTGTATAACACTGTAATTTTATCAAAATAAAATTTTATCCATAATGGAGTTATACTCTACCACAGTTTTATCCTTGTAGGAGTTTATTTAAATGACCTACAATTTGTCTTCTGTTTTAAGTATGCTTCGTATGCATGTTATTTGTATGTGTGTGTGATTTCGGAATTAGATACGATTTCAATCATAATATTTTTCAATATAATTTCTCAAAGTATTTGCTCAGAAACTGTGATTATCATACCTATCGTTATTGGTTGTATTCAGTCTTCGTATTACTTCATCCTATCTGAACAGCTTCTATTGCGTAATAACTCTTTAGGTCTAGTGTGGGAAACTGTGAAAGCCAGTTATGTAGTACATGATCTGTACCTGCAACTAAGTTTCCCTTAGATTTTCCTAGCTACCGGCAATGGAGAAACAGCTGGACATACTATTTTACAATTTTATATTTCGTCAACTAGAGGGGAGAAACATACCTGTATAAGACCTTCGGTTTACTCGTGACGTCTTCCTGAGATGACTGCCATACCTTCTGTTTGGAGAAGTTAGAATTTGTGGGGTTTCTTCTGTTCGGAACCTGCAGGTTATGGACTGGTTCATATTACCACTGTTTTAAGGGGGTGCTCTGTCACTCCTTCCCGGGATGAAAAGAGTTTCGTCTTTGACAATGATCGCACAAGAGAGATACCTTAATGCTATTGCCTGCTCTTTTCCAGCGGCGCGACTTCACCGTCTGACATTTACGTAATAATCAGTTTTTCTTATGACGGTGATCGGTTTTAGTCCAACGGTAAAATCATCTCTATACACAGACTCAGTCATCACATCATGGTGGCAGATGTCAAGCTGGGTCGTTTGATTATCAGTCGTGTTTCCCACTGTTTCACCCTTATGCTGTAAATTTCAGCTTCATTTTTTAATGTATTTTGATTCTCAATTATCAAGTGCATTTTTGTATTATAGGTTGCATGCTAGATCCTTAAAATGAGATTAACGGGAATTTTGTACGGGAAACGCGTACGTCATGACAAACTTCAGTTTTTAACCAATCGTTATTGGCGTAAGGTGGGTTCTAAGTTGTCAGTTGACTGTTTACGTGTTCCTGAACAAATTTTAAATGATTCAAACAGTCCTATAAAAGACGCAGAAAACATGTTCAGATCAACCAGATATGATGATGATCTGTTAAAAGAGATTGAAATTGGAATCACTTCAGAAGAGGCGTATAAAATAGAACAGCAAAGAGCTGAAAAATTACAGTCTTTTAATCCTCTTCACGACGACCCTCGTTTCCATCAAAACTCTGAATCATCTTTGATCTTTTCTCAGAAACGGCGCTTTTCAAAGGGTGTGGATCAAGCGAGTCTTCTCACAAACGTAAGATTTTTTTACGGTTTCTTGTTATTATGTATTAAGTCCCAATATTGTGTGTGTAATATCAATCAGTTACCGTATAATTTAGTTTAAAACGTTCTGTCTTCCTTTTGCATTAGTTGTGCAAGTTGTTTAGTCTTCGAAATGCTAATTGAATGGACGATGTTTCAACTCCATGCCTCTATTGCAGATAGGTTGTTGTGCACACACTTTGTCACTACCAGCTGCCTCAGTAGTATTATTTACTGCAGATGTAATGGGACCGTGTTGGTAAAGCATTCACCGGTTATTCCGTTTTAGCAAAGTTATTTTTAACTCCCTGATTATTCTAACTTATGTGATGTTACCAGATGTAGTCGAATGCAGTTTATAGTTTTAGTGAAATTAGTATACACTTAAATAACTGATGAACACAATACTTGAAATACAGACTTGCTGATGTTCCTTTAAATTCAAGAAGGATATTTAGAGAAAACGGTTAGTGTATGGTGTGCTTATATCCTTGAAAAGCTTTATTTATTTATCGTATTGTATATTGCATAAAAGAAGGTTTAATGCCAATAATTACTCTCCAGTTACGGTTCATCCAAATGTCCACAAATCCAAACGGTTGTATGTAATACGGAACCTCATATTGTCGTAAAGGAGTGTTTGCAATTTGTTGGTTGTTGTGTAACTTGAATAGAATGGGCCTCCAGTCACGATACTGTAGCCAACGGATCCCTCGAAAATATTCCCCACACTGAAGTAGACACATAAGTCAGATTTAACTGAGACAACTGCGGCAACAACTTTTCTATAAACAATACAGATTAAATTATCTTTAACACATCAACGGAAATTTAAACCGTAGATAAATAATCAATATCTGATTGACTACATCAATCATGACTTTACGGCTAACAAACATAATCCGTACTAACACCACCCCTTCTAACAGATTTTCAATTTGGGGACCACTGGAAGGTATACATAGGTCTGTATGTGATACCTCCCCCTCGAAATAGTATGGGGTGTTTGCTTGATGCGCGGTTGACTTCACTAGCAAAAGTAAGGAAGTCATTACATTGTTCCTTGGTCAGAACTAAACATTTGCTGCAGATATTGAACACTGATGCTTGTTCCCCCAAATGTGTACAAAGAATTCGGATCGTTTCATCAAAATCAGTATCATGAAAAAGTACTCCCCAAAGGAGTGGTTTACCAATTCGATTAATGCCGAACAGATCCAAACCATGATATTTGGTAAGATAACATAAATCTTCAAAATTCTTCTAAATGAATTGGACATCACGAGAGATTTCACCAGCTAAGTTCAAAATATTTCCAGAAACATTTCTAACAACATAGCTCTGGAGAGAATTCTTCCTCCTCCTCTGAGATTGGAGAAACTGGAGTGAAGATCTCTACACTTGAGCTGATCATATCTCCTGGTTTTGCACAAACAGTGCTTTCATTAGACATTAAAACTAATCGTGGTTTACATAATTTTGGTTTCTTACTTCCACATTTTTGCACTTATTCCTACTTTGTCTATTTTCTCCCTTTTCTATTTTTCCATTGGTGTGTCTTATACATTTAGTATGTTATCTTGTTTACCTATCTCAAGAATACCTTGACTTCATGTAGATCGCTAGTTCCTCACTTTACTCTAAGTTCCTTCCCTTACCCCACGTGATTTCCTTTTGCCGGTACTAGTGAACGTGTCTAAAAGGTGTATTATTTCTTCATCAGTGCACTTAGTGTCGCTTCGAAAAATTTACATTGCGCTTCGTAAGATATATGAATTTTTTTTAGGACAAATCGATAAATGACTCACTTTTGACACTGAGATTTCATAGCATATTTTAATGACTAACTTTAACGAGTCACAAAATTTTTTGACTCCAATGTTAAAAAGATACGGGTTCGAGATCGATTATTTAAAGTTAATTTTCAAAAGTATGAAGGTTGTTAGGTCATTAATTCTCCAGTAAATGTTACTTAACTACTACATGTGGAAGTTATACTGTTCAACTGTTATAATATATCTAACAAACAGTTTAGTACTGAATCCCTTTTAAATTGTTCTATAAGCAAATTAAAGAGTAGCTTGCAAATCGAAAATAAGCAAACCTCGGATGTTTAATCATTTTTACTCACTTCAACTTCACATCTATTCGTTTTATGTTTAAAGCTGACCTATAGTATTGTCTTTTCCTTCTGGTCTCAATTCATATGTGTAATATAGTTCATTGATCTAAATTTATATACCACCACCTGCTCATATAACCTCTGACATCGACAGCTGAAATCACGTAACTAATTACAAGTTTCTGTGTCTGTTTATGCGGGTTTATTTTATATTTCGAGTCGAAATAATTACAAAATTTTAACACCTCTTCAGTTATATGGTTTCTAGTCATTGCCTTTAACGCATTAGAGGTATGTGTTTCAATAATCTAGGGGACTGGAGTCCCAATCACTTGGTCATGGGTCCCAACTCCAGACATTATCACAAGCTCCCACATAAAGTGGGGCTAATTACCAACTGCACAGTAGTGCAAGTGGTCGTGGCAATTTTGTTTGATAAAATGGATATGGATACTGCATTATTTATTTACTGATGACGTTTTGGGCACAATTTATTTCTCATAATCATACCAAGTGGTTGTGGATCAACATTTCATTTCATTTTCCTTTTGATGTATATTTTCTTTATTGCCCTGTTACTTTTTCTAACTATTTTATTTTATTTATCGTTATTTAGACTGCTGTTGCGTTCGGTGCTCCACCTACTCTGAACAGTCTTATTCAAAAGATAGGTCGGATAAATGAACAAGTAAATTCAGATAACTCGACTGCAGATTGGAGATCTTACTTACGTTTAGCTGTTGAACGCTCAGTTTTACACGCTCATGTTTGGCAAACAGATGAAACTAAATTACCCAGGCGATTTCGTCATGATTTACCTATTTGGAAGCATAAACCAGAGTTTGGCATTCATCCAGAACAAAGTACTCGTTACTTGTTTCAAAATTTATTTCGCATATTAGAATTTCAGGTTAGTCACTTTTATTAAGGACCACATTTCTTACACATTGTTCTACTTCAATAGTGAATAAGTACGCTGAATAGTTTGACGAATTCAAAGTATTTCCGCTTCAACTAAAATCGTGAATACTAAAATAGTTCATGATAGCCGCAGTCTCAGTTAATTTACTGGCATACACTAAAGCATGATCAAAATCCAAACAAGTGCACCAAAAGGTGTGGCAGTCATTTTTACCCATGCCATCGGTAGCTGATAGTAATATGATCTATTTTGAATTAAGCGACAGAAGGAGGACACTCAATAGCACTACGGCAATGGCTTCAGAAAAGGTCCCTAATATCTAACTTGCAACCATCTATTCTCCAAACACCGCTTAAACTGCTCTGCTGTGAACCTAGATGCCCGACGTGTACATCTAAGTCCCCAGAAGGCACTACGATGTCTGTCGAACACTCTTACCAGAGAATCTCACTCAGTTAATAGTAAAACCCGTCCGCTGGTACATAGGCAGAGATAACAAAAAGGCGATACGAGGTACTTCTTACTTTATTATAATCTCCTAGCCTCACAAGCACCTAAACGACGTTTAATGGGGAGTAATGCGACTCTGACTGTAGCACTTAGTGCAACACCGACACCAGTCAGGCTGCATGCAAGTGCTACAGGAACTTTATTCATTCTTGCAGATGGAAAAGATATTCGAAGCAGTCCATTGGAGTCTCTAATACAGTACACACCATTAGTAAGGCTTTCCAGGTTTCTTGCCAGACCTGCCGATTGTCCGATTCGCATCAGCGTGCAAACGTAGGTGGCGAGTTTCAACGCGACATGTGGTTTCAGAATAGCTGTGTTACATATTCCAATGGAGGCTAGTTTTCTGAATGTAACTAATTGGCAACTCCAAACGATACATATAGACTGAGACTTCGGACGACAGCTAACGACTGGCGAAATTAAAGATACTAAGAAGCGTAAAGACGACTAAAATAAAAGTCTAACAAAATGGTATATGTTTTGAGAATCGAAATATGATAATGAATTGCACTACCAAATAATATGATCGACAAAGCAGTTTGTGAGTGTGCATGTGGACAGAGTTTTCCATTGATTATTGTTCCATAGTTTCTGTGAAGGATGGCATGCTGCCTGGACTCATGAACAGAAGATGTAGGGTTGTCTTAAGCAACCGCTTGAATTCTGATCCCCAACGTAGAACGTCGTCACCGGGAGCTGCTTTCTTATTTATATGATGACCAAACATGTTCACATGCCATGCGTTCATTTTGGATTATGGAGCCCATTACACTAAAGATTTGGAATCAGGGTTTTCCAGTTCCTCGAGGCGGATATCTGTGTTCACCAGTCCGGTGATAAGCACCAAGCATTTGCTCTCTCACTTTTGGGTGAATATCCAAAGCTTCATGAAGGTAGTGAATAGAACTTACCCTGCAAAGGCTGTGAGCGCGTGACCAGATGAAAGCATTCCGAAGAGAAGAGTGGAGTCTACCCATCCCCGTCAAAACCAAGTCATTTACAGGTCAATTATAAGATAAGAGCTCACTAGTACTTAAACAGTACCATAAAGTGTCGTTTTCGAGAAATTGACTACAACTGTGTAACTACGTTTTTTATCCAGTTTAATTTTATTATACTTAGAATTCTGTATTCTAGTGGATGCGGTTTAATTTCATATATTTTAAGGTCATAGTTATTACAGTGATAAAAGTAACGTTAGAAATAAATCTAGCTTAGTTCAATTTCCATCCATTTCACTACTGATATCTACAATAATTCAACTTTTATCTTATTATGTTGTTTGGACTGTCTACATATTTTTTATGAGTGAAATGATTTTTTATCTATGCACTATAAAATCTGACTTTTTCACCTATGTCTGAATTTTAATAAGGTAGGATTTTTCATAGAATTGTGAATAATAATAGACACATTTTCTCGACCATATTAATTATTTTTTTTTCAAATAGTTAAAATTACTTTTTCTACAGCAGTTAATATATGATTATTCCAGTCATAATAAACCATAAACCACTGGTTATCTATTTGGTTTGATGATTACAATGACTCTTTATCAAACTCCATACTTCGTCATTTCCAATCCAATCGTGGTTGACTAACCCTCGAATTTCATGTACATTAATTGTATCAAGTAATTAAAAACTTGGCTGATTCTTTGCACGGGAAATAATAATGACCATTAGAAATTCATTTCAAAGTCATGCTTCATACCCACACTTACATTGCTGATCATACTATTGGTTGCCGAGACTTTAGGATTTAGATTTCCAATACTAATAATATTACCGATAATAACAATATCTTCATTCTGAAAAACGGCGTAACATAATTCTGTTCGTCTTACCACCATTTAATTACTACTAGTGCGGAATCTCCTAATAAAATCAATAATATATCATTTGAAGCAATATTGTTCCATTCGAAGAACGTCCCTATACTTTAGAATACCCCCCCCCCCATTTCCTTCGAAAAATTCATAACAGTAGATTAAAACCTACCTAGAAACGAAGGTGATCACAAACTACCATTGAAGGATGTAGTTGGAACATTAAAATAATATTAACTAGAGTAAACTTGATGCATTTTTCTGGATGGAGAATTAAGCAGCATGGTGACGGGCTACTGTGATACCGTGTGCATATTTATTAATTCGATAAAGGAACCGTATGTGCTATTTGGGAGTTACTCAAACTGTGACTCACTAGTTGTTAACATGGTTCTTAGGTCAATAATTCGTATCCACATAACCTTTACTGGAACTTGGTATTAATGTCATTATTACTGTATCTTTAAAATTAGACGGTTTCACAACCGTAGCCGAACTGGAAGATTTAATTTAAAAGCTTACAAAATATCCACTTTCAGACCAGTTGTTAATATTACAATCAACATTTGTTCACAATAGCGTTGACCAGTACGTTTTATGAGAAAAATCATATGAAAAATTTCCCAGGCTATCGCACATAAAAATAACATCTCGTCGATGAGCTTTGACTACTTTTTTTCATTACGTTTTTGGTTCAACTGTTATCACATATTGAAGCTAAGTTTGTTGATACCTTGCTTATAATTTGTTTTTTTTTATCACATCCCTGTTACCATGATAGACTGGACTGGTTAATCAGTCATATTGCAAATAACTGATAATAGTCATTTTCAAATGCTGAGTAATCTAAGTAATACATTGAATAAATGTCACGAAACGATGACTGCACTCAATGAAGGTTATTCCATAGAGTACTATGTTTTTTTCGTTATCTGACATTGTGTCTCTTCAAAATCATGCTTTCTGCTTTGTTATAAATTATCTTAGACACCTCATTACATTAAATATGCGGAATTGTCTCCTGTTCAAAATAAGCTGTCTAACAACTTACCCTGTCGATGGACAACGCGAGATCGATTGCTGGAAACATACTATTACTGGGGTCCACAAAAACGTCGCATCAGTTTTTCCGAAGAACATGATTTGGCGGTATTTGGACAAACACCTGCGCCTGTGTTCGTATCTGATATCGATACTATTCAGAAAGCTAGTGAAGCAGCTACAATGCCTGTTAAAAGCCTTGGCCCTATGTCGCCCTTAATAGATCTAACCAGCACTTTGTATTACATGGATAACAGTACAAATGGTTGGATTGGAAATCAGGTAAGCCATATCACATTAATCACTCCATATTATTATAATCCTTATTGCGGGAATACGAGAATTCCTACTATATCGAAGTCGGCTTCCCTGTAACATTGTGCCCTCTGTCTTAACAGATTCAGCAAAAAATATATAACTTTTCACTTACTTTCTCCTCATCGCCTCTACACTAATATATAGTTTCTTACATCAAATTTTTTTACCAATCAAGTGGTTATTTTAGTTAATCAGTTTTAGGTATAGGTGGGGGTAAAATTAAGAGGTTAAACGTCATCAAAGCAAATAACTAAAAAGGTGTTAGTAACAAGATATATAAGTTCTAAAAGAGGGGTGAAAATTAATTACGAAATTCAAGATAAGTTGATTCTTACGCGTTGACAACAGGTTGTTACACAATCAAGAAATTTTCAAAATAGCAATGATGACTAAGAAGAATAGGATGGCTCAGAAGAGTTACGTAGAATACAAACAAGTTAATAGAATTAGCTAGAATTGTACAAATTAACAAAGTCAAAAGATAGTTACAAGGGGAGGGAAAAAATCGTTTTTAAAAACTTAATTCATATTATGTAGTTGGCCATGGCAAAGAAAGGGGCTGTACACATTTCTTTTGACCACATAGGTTTGGCTTGTTCGGGTGAATTCCGATTGCCTCTGCTGTATGTAAAAGTCGTACTCATAGACCATGCGAGAGGTTGGGTGAAATACGACAAATAACCTTAAAACGTTTGTTAGAGTCGATTTGATGTCCAGTATCGACGAGATGAGCCAGTATTGAGCTGCGAATAGCATTATTCGGACCTTTGCCAATCCAAGATGGGAGGTGTTCACAAATTCGACGATGAACTAGCTTGGTCGTACGCCCTATGTAACTAGCTCCACATGGGCAGTTAAACTGGTAAATACACGTGGAAGAGGCAAAACAGGGCAGTCTGTCTTTATTTCTTGAACTAAGCACTGGTCGGCTAGTGAATACACAGCATAGCTTAACTGCATAGAAAGTCCTTTTGAAGGCCCTTCTCAGACGTTGTGATAAGATCTCACTATTGACATCCGTGAATTGCAACCTTAGGAAGACTGACTTTTTGGGGACAGACGGCAACTTCGACTTTTCACTTTGTTTACGAATTTAGTTGGATATCCGCCTCTACTTAGTAGATCGCGAATATTACCGAGTTCTTCGTTCAGTGTCTCATTTGAATAGATAACTCTAGCCTGGTGAAGCAAACATCTAACCAGATTACGTTTGTATTGTAGAGGTACGCAGCTCAGGAAGTGAGCATATTGTCCAGTGAAAGTAGGTTTTCTATACAAACGTCTACATATTGTTCCGTCTATTCATTTAGTCATTAGGCCGTCCAAAAAGGGGATAGAGTCATTTTCTTCTTCTTCTTCCTTAGTGAAGCTTGTGCTAGAGTGTGCTCTATTGAATTTATCCAATATGTCCTTAGTCTCACTTTCTTTCTTAACAATTACAAATGTATCATCAACATATCGACAATAGAAATCAAGATTATATTACATCTTTAAGTGGACCATTCTCTAGTTTCGCCAAGAAAAATGTGCTAGGATTGGGCCTAGCGGTGATCCCATGGCACCACCGTCTGACGATCTATACATTTCCTCATTGAACAGGAAATTTACGTACGTGGACAATGAACGTGCCACAACTTGAACTGCTGCACCTCTGTGCAAAGTTCTGCATTGAAATCTTACATAGTCACCGTACTATCGTAAATACATTTTAATTGCTTGTTACAACTAAAGTGTTGTTGAATCTCTTTAGTTACTGTAAAATTGATAACAGTCGATTGGAAGATAAGAATCCTTGGCATTTCAGTACCATGACTTCAGATTTGTGCTTATCTTCTATCTGTGTTCCTTTAAATCTTTTGTCATTTCTCACTACATTGTCTACTCGGACGTAAAATCACACTCAGTATATTCAACTCATTTTAGGAGTGATTTCCTGAGACATATGAAGCTAATCCAAGAAATATCACTGCACAACAGTTATAAGCAATACTCTTCTCCACATACAATTTTCCCTATGTACATTTAAAATTACACACTGAACTAAATATATCCGTAAGAGAAAATTATCATGACTACCAAAATTGCAAATTGTTTAACTGACGAAATTTCCAACGTACAACTTTGCATCAAAGTGTTACAGTTCATAAAAGCCCATATAAGGGTGGGGAAGACATGCAAAGAAAGTATATTAAAAAAACTAACGTGTTCAGGAGGAAAAATTACGTGGATATAATCTTGTTGACTATTAACACCTTTAACAAACTATTTGGCATTTCTTTGACTGTTTAACACTAAATAATACCAATAACTGTTTATATTATTGGATTTGCATGCCGAAGTTGACCCAAGGCAGTGAGTCTGTGGTTTTCATATCACTTTTGGTAATTATATTTAACAGTGATATTACTGCTACGGTTTTTGTTGTTGTTGTTGCCTTTCCTGTTGTGATTTTTTGCTGTTTTGTTCTGATTGCCTTATATCTTTTTTTCTTGACTCTATAGAGAGCAACCCAAAAAGTCGCTGCTCTGTAACCTGCATATATATGTAAAGACTTCCTCCTAGGGCAACCCCACCCTGTAGACGAAACTGCCATAGAAACTTATGTACGATGAGTCTCCTAGCGACGAAAGAAAAAGTATGCGTGGAGACATGGAACGTCTGCACTATGTATGAGACTGGCAAAGCCTCCCAGATTGCAAATGAGATGAAGAGATATGGTATTGAAGTACTGGGAATATATGAAAACGGATGCAATCGGAGTGGACTCACCGAATTTTCAACGGGAGAGTCAGTGGTCCACTCTGGTCATCCAGAAGGTAACCACGAGCACACCGAGAGTGTCGCTCTCATGATGTTGCCAATGGCTAAGAAGGACCTGATACAATAGGAAGCGATCTGGTCCAGGATAATGACTGCCAGATTCAACTCAAATGGAAGGAGAGTGACAATTATACAATGCTGTGCACCCACAAACAACGCAGACCTAGGGAAGAAAGAAGAGTTCCACAGGCAACAATGAATACTACTCCAGTCGGTGACATTAAAATCCTAATGGGCGACATGAACACCAAACTGGGACCAGACAATACAGGGAGAGAACTCATTATGGGTCGAGAAGCACTCGGAGAGATGAACAAAAACGGAGAACTCTTCACTGAATTCTGTGCTTTCAACGGGCTAGTGATTGGCGGCAGCATATACATGCAAAATGATATCCACAAAGCTACATGGGTGTCATCATACAGGCGAACCAAAAGCCAAATTGACTTCATCTCAATGCTGCTCAAGGAAGTGGAGACGCAGCTTACTGGACACAAAAGTAAGAAGAAGAGCAGACGTCGGCTCATACAACTATTTCGTGTGACGAACTCTCCAAAGGAAATTAAAAACTTTCAAGGAAACAGGAGCTGCGGATAGACCACAAGCCAAGTTCATTACTCAAAAACTGAAGGATGGGGAAACAAAGGATACCTTCACTGCAATCATAATGAAAAAGGCGGAGACACAAATCAACACTAGCGAAGTGACCAGCGTTGAAAAGCACTGGGACAGCCTGAAAGCGGTGTGGAGTCAAACCTGCATGAAAGTTCTAGGCAGAAAGAAGAAGAGACAAGACAAACAGACACATGGAGACTAATGGAAGAGAGGATGGTGAAACATAAGATTATCCAGTGCATCAATGAGCAATAAAAACAGGAGTTGAATGCAAGCAGGACAAGCTGCAGGCAAAGAAGACCTCGCGACACTACCAAACAACTAGTTTCATATCGTGGAGGGGATCAACACAAAGGAAGCCATTGAAGGATGAAAATGGAAAGCTAATCACCAAAGAGGTGGATCAAAGGAAACACTGGGTTAAACACTTCGAAAGACTTCTAAATCGACATCCACCTTCAACGCGCCCAGCAATACCAACAGCGGAAGCAGAAATACCAGTGGATACCAACCCTCCGACAAAAGTAGCAATCCTGAAAGCCATAAAGATGCTTAAAACTGGAAAAGCAGCAAGACCGGATGGAATCCCAACAGAAGCATTAAAAATGAACCCAGCGACATCAGTGGACTTGATGACACCACTACTGAAGAAGGTGTGGAAAGAGGGCAAGGTACCTGCGGATTGGAAGAAAGGATACTTATTCAGACTGCCAAAGAAAGAAAACTTAGGTCATTGCAAGAATTGGCGTGACATTATGTTCCTGTCTATCCCGAGCTAAATACCAAGCCGCATCATCCTGGAGAGAATCAAGCACTCCCTGGATGACAAACTTAAACTGGAAGAGGCTGGATTCAGGAGAAACAAATCATGCATCGACCAAATTGCAACGCCACTTATCACCACTGAAGAGAGCTTGGAATGGCAGTCAGCTTTCTACCTCAACTTCATTGACTTTGAAAAGACCTTCGACAGCGTCTATCGAGGGGTGATTTGGAAACTGCTTCGCTTCTACGGGGTGCCGCCAACAATTATGCACCTCATCCAACAGTTGTACGATGATGCTGCATGCCAAGCAATCCACAACGGAAAACCCACGGAATCCTTCGAAGTGAAGACAGGAGTATGACAAGCTGGCTGCTTATTATCTCCAATGATTTTCCTGATCGCGGTAGACTGGATAATGCGACAGACAGACAACGGGCAACGAGGAGACAGTCATAAAATGGACCCACACAGAGAACTTGGAGGATCTGGATGTCGGCAATGATGTATGTCTGATTTCCCACAAACTGGAAGATATGCAAGTGAAAAGCAACAAGTTGGCAGAAGAAGCATCTAGAGAAGGTAGGCCTTCAGGTGAACATAGAGAAAACAGAGGTGATGAAGATTCCTGGCCAACAGCAACAACAATCAGCATAAATGGGAGGAACCTGAAAGAAACAACCTCCTTCACCTACCTGGGTAGCATCGTTTCAACTACAGGTGGAACTGACGAGGATATCAAAGCAAGGATCGGGAAAGCAAGACAAGCTTTCACTACTCTCGAGTCTGTGTGGAGGTCAGCAGCACTCAGCATCAAAAATAAGATTCGAATTTTCAGCTCCAATGTGAAGTCCGTGCTATTATACGGATCAGAGACTTGGCGCGTCACAAAGAGCACTTGAAACAAACTACAGACCTTCATCAACAGCTAGCTGTCTTCGCTCAATACTCAAGATCAGATGGCCAGAAAAGATCAGCAACAGGGATCTCTGGCAATAAACGAACCAACCAGGAACCTATTGTGCAACAAATAAGCAGGAAGAAATGGAGATGAACCGGATTGGCCATACTGTGAGAAAGCAAACCATCAAGTGACATCACAAGACAGACCATCGCTCAAGTGGAACCCGAACGGGAAGCGGCGAGTTAGTCGTCAGTGCGAGAGTAACATGGAGGAGGTCGTGCGAAGAGGGGATGAAAGCATGTATGCAGACGTGGAGTCAGGTTAAACGTTGGTGGGGAACCGAACGCAATGGAGATGTGCAGATGAAGCCCTAGGGACTAAAGGATATAATAATAATAAATGTAAAGTGATTCTACATGACTGGACTACATCGACTCTTAGCTTTAAAGAAAGGGATTGAAGTGGTAGAGCGTGTTGACCACTTCACTTATTTGGGAAGTTGTATCAGCCGCAGCGGGATGACTACTCAGCACTTCACTCCGTCCTCCTATATAGTCGTCAGACATGGCCGCTGGAAGTGAAAGACATGAAAAGGCTAGATGTGTTTGATCATAAGTGTCTGCCTTCTTTTTCCGGTGTTAGGTGGTATAATTGGGTGAGTAATACGGGGGTCAGGCGTCGAGTGTTAGGTAAGGAGAGAAAGTCAGTCGTTGAGTTTGTGAAGCTACATCGATTTAGGTGATTAGGACTTGTATTACTCATGCGTAATCATTGCCTTCCTCGACGGCCAGTGTTAGCTGACATAGATCAGGCTGGAAAAGTGCTAGTACGGGCTCGGACCAAAACTTGGAGTCAGTCCGTGAAAACTTTGATCGTTAGGTTGACACGTTAGAAGGTGTAGATTGAATGGTTGGATGGGATCCCACTAAACTGTGATATTTTTCCATTTCACTATTCTAATTCCCTCACGTTTCTGCTTATTATTGTTCTCTTGAACCTCTTTTTTCTCTTTTGTCTTCCTTTGTGTGCTACATGGAGTGTGGCAAATTCAACTGCTGTACTGCTGTACAAAATTCTTTGTTGCAACCAGTCGTTCAAACTGAATGTAGACGGTTAAAATATACGAAGCGGTATATTATATACCGAGTAAATAATTCACAGAATCCTGGGAAACTACATGTTGTATGTTGTTACTTCTCATATATGTGTGTAACGTCATAATCCCAACTGCATCCCTGTTCGATTTCAACAGTGGCAGATTACTGTGGCGAATTGAACTGCCGCACATATGTGCAAAGTTCTATGTCGAAAACCGACCGACCGACATACAACACCATTAATGGCTACACATACAGCATCAATTTAGTCCCTCTAAATGTGCTCAAGTAACTTTCAGGTGATTTATTGCCTAAATTTAGTTATTGTGATTCTACTTAAGGTTATATTTCTCAATTACTTCCATATGACTTTTGTGGTCTTTACTTATGTGTAGACGTAAATTCTTGTCATCTCATAGGTACCACGGTTTAGGAGTATGTGTGGTATATGTATTCTACAAGAATGCTAATCAAACATTTGTGCGCAGATACATTTTTACAGTATGTGAAATTTTTATGAACTGACCTTTACGATACTTTTATTTTGCTTACTTATGAGTAATCTTAAATGCTTATTTTAATATTTATGACATGTTCCATTCACTAGGGAATAGTTTTTGCTACGTGATTTCTAGTCAAGATCTTATATACTGTAGTTTATCATAGCTAACTAAAATATGGTCGATTGTAAAATACTAAACTGTAATATATATTTTATGTATCCCGGTACAATAATTTGAATATAGAAGTACAGCTCACTAGAGGTATATACCAAAATATGTAAAAAGTTGCATAAAAGATAAACATAAATGCCAACATTTCGATTCAAATCCGTAAACATGCATTTCAGTTACCCTTCCAACACAGGCAATCCAATCTGTGCTTACATTACTCAGACCAACAAGTCTAGTATATTTACCAAGTATAATGTAGAAAACCGTATTATTCGCAAACCAATATGGTTGGTTAACTCGATGAAATAGTTTAATGGTGTATTTCTTTTTAGTTACCTCACAATATTTCACTTAAGGAAAAATAAATTTCTATGGGGAACAAATCAAATTGAAAATAGTCCATCATTATCAATAGCATTCTGTTTTACAATATAATTATCCTGTGTATGTTTCATTGGGAATCATCTGTCACACTCCGGTTAAATCTAATTAGTGTAGGTAGACAGGAATTCACCCAAGCAATTTTTTTATCGTTTATTATTCACACGTTTTAATTAGGTCCTCCAACGATATATGTAGGTAGTGCATAAATGCACGTGTTATTTTAACATTTTTGTCCGTATGGCTGTATTTTTTTCTCTTCACATTTTTGCCTTTTCTTCAATACGCTTATCATGCCTCGAAGTCTAACGCCTTTGTCCCTACAGTCATATATCTTAGGCTTTTAGTGCGAGAATTTTACAATTGTTTTTCTTTAAAAAAAACAAAGATAGCTCAGTGGAGAAGAAAATTTTTCTTTCTATTCTTTCTTATTTGTTTGCAATATGTGAAAGTTGTTTATTAGGACACTAAAAAAGAAGAGTAATTAATCTACTCAATGTACTGTATAATCGCATTCGCATGCGTCGTTTTGCGAAGCGTCTACAATGCACTGAATAAAGTAGTTGATCGGCCAATTGGTCACGTATGTAATAAAAGTATTAATCTCATCAAAATTTAGGGAAGAAGCTTGTGAACAATGAATAGTATTATCCGACCCCCTGGCAAAAACATTAATTCTCAACCATTTTATTTTACATATTGGATTAATGTTTTTGCCAGGGGTTGCATAATAATATTGAAGTAATTGAAAAGGGGTGTGCGTCGGTGGTATAGCGGTTAGGACGCTCGCCGACCATGCACATGGTCCGGGGTTCGATCCTCGGCCGACGCACTCCTTTACCGCGCTAAGCCAGAAATAATGCTGGTAAAGAGGAAAGGTTGGGCATGAGGCTAGCAACCCTATCCTGTAAAATAAACACTGCTACAGAAACTTCAAGCCACTAGCTTGGAGCCCTATGTTCCACTGGGGAACGTGAAGGAGAAAAAAATTGAAAAGGTAGGCTGACAGTAAAAGAAATGTTGTTAAGTCATTCAACAGACACAGGATTATGTGAGTGAGCTGTTATCTGAACGCTAGATTGGGATGTTTTATTTATATATTGATATTTCTTTGTATGTAATTATTGTTGTCAACATTGGTTTTTCAGCTAATAGGACACAGGTGACTCACTACTCGTAGTGAAATGTGTTGACGTATAAGGCTATCATTCACGCTTCTGCAAAAAATGTGAATCACTGTTTAACGCATGTAATTGCTCAGATGAATTAATGTTATTATGTTATTCGGTGAAATGGAAAAGTTTATTTGTTAAGCAAAATTGTTACAAAAGAGAGTAATTTTCGAGGTAAAACAAAGGCACGACGTGAACATAGTTACAAAGGGATACAAAATAAAGGGAATGAAAATTGTTATTGCAGGGAAAATACAAAGGTTTATTCATATTTCTAAATCAGTGTATGAGTAAACAAATGAGGATAAAAAATTATTCTGGTTCTATTATTTTTGTATCAATTATTAACGTCATGCATGAGTGCTGAAAGATAATCATACAGTTAAATGCTTCTAACTGGAATAAAACAATGTTATGTTTTTGTTTCTATGTCAGTAGGGAATTAGTTACTGTTTTTGTTCGTCTTTTCAATGATTTGTATCATAGAGCAGTTGTTGTCACACACCTGAGCTTGCTATATGTCCAATGTTGTCTTTCTATTCATCACTAAAACAGGGGAATCGATTTCTCTAAGACTAACGTTAGTGATTGCTACTAATCAACTCCTTTGCCTCGGTAAGCCAGTAATAAGAATGGTAAAGAGGAAAGGTTGGGCATGAGGCTAGCAACCCCATCCTGTAAAAATGAACGCTGCTACGGAAGCTTCAAGTTGAAGGCTTGAAGCCCCCTATGTTCCACTGGGAACGTAAAAGGAATAAATACAACAAACTTATCGGTCTATTAGAAAATCTTCAATATGATCAAATTTTCGAATAACAAAAAATTAAGTTTCCTACCTCACATAACCATAATTTCTTCTAAAGAAAAGGTAAACAATCTGTTTTCAGTTTCTTTTTGCCTACAATGGTAGAGTATACCGTCGAAAGAGAAAATATCCAGGAGTTATGAAGAGTTGTCGTTGCAACTGTTCTAAAGTCTGATAGCGTAATAAGATAAAGCTATTTAAGTCATAATTGCTTGTGACCACTGTCCTACGATTTTGAACCCACGAATGCGTAAATCAGTTGGTTTTTTGTTTTGTTTTTTTGAAAATAGAAACTAAAAATTAACTTGATGTGACGACTTTCAAAACCTGACATCATTTTAACTTCCACAAAAGAGTCTGTTTTATACTAATTTGGCTCTAGAGGTCGTTTATATTTTGTTTCATTTTTATTGTTCTTTTATAGAATCGTCGATATTCATTTCCACATATTTTCACAGTTAACTTCAGCTTGCCGAATGTATGGTCAGATTATTTAGAACCAGAAGCAGATCGTGTTGTTCCAGAGCACCGATATGCAGTAGCGTTGATGAACTGTTTTGCATCTGCTGTCGCTCAAGCTCGTTCAATGGGGATCAACTCAGGCGTTCTCGATGTACCCATCTCGGTTCAATGTGTCTGTTCAGATGGTGTATATTTTGATTTCATCACGTTTCAGTTGAACAACATGGATGTACCTGATTATCAATCTGACCCCCAGGCTGTTAGTACTGTACGTAAAAACTTTGCATGGATTGATGGAAACTATCGTTTGTTCAAGAAGATTATACCGAAGCGAAGTATGATGCGCAACACAAAGTATCGTGATTTCGATATGAGCGTTTTTGATCGTCTAACGAGTTACTATCTATGTGGAATGCTTGACACTTCTTTCACATTACCTGAAACATTACTTCCCAAATGGAATGTAAATAGACAAGAGGTATTATGAATAAACACAACTATAATAGACTTATAGACAATAATAGTCGTGAATAATCTAATTTCACTTGTATAAAAACACCTATGTAATTATTCCTTTCACTTATCCGTTTTGTCATAAATATATATGTATATATGCGAAAGCAATTATTTCGCCAGACGATCAGTTTTAATCTTTTCTTGTGGGCTGTTACTCTAAAAAATGTGAGATTGTAATCATCTATTAGCTTTTTTCACTATAGTTACGAAAGTCAAGTTTTTTTTTGTTGCCTTTCACTGCTAGTAATTGTAATTTATTCTGACCAGAATTGATTGGGTTTCAACGTAGAACTTTGCATAGAAGTTTAACCGTTGAAGTTATCACATACCACACAAAGGTAGTGAAAGAGAAAATTCAAGTGAACTATAATGAGCCGAAAAAAATCTTGATGACGTTATACTTTATTTTAAATAACTATTTTTGATTACATCTAGGATAGGGTTATTTGATATAACACGCAGCAACCAGATGATGTTTCAAGCACAAGTTATTACTTCTGAGTATATCACTGTATTCACACGACTTGGTAACTTGCTGCATACATTCCTACTCCCTGTTGTTTTTGTTACAGTTTTCCATATATCTGGTATGGGCGTTGCGTCATTTCGATCGCACGAGTTTGATGTCGACTTGAAATGAACAGAGATTTTACTATCGTGCCCAAATTTTCTATTCTCACTTTATTTTGATTCCGCCTAAGATAATCACATAAGCTATAAAAGACACTCTTAAGTAGGTTTCTGTCTCTCTCTTCGATTTTTTTTAACTATTATACCCGGACGAAATGACTGTAAATAACAATTATGTTTCAGATGATTGTAAAAGTACCATTTGCTATTCTGTAACTTAACAAATAGAAATCCTATCCGATTGAAAACGAAGAGGAAGAATGTCTAAGGTACACAAATATATGGTCTAATAATAGAATATTATTGATTGAAATGAACATTATTAGATTTTACTGGATAGATACTATTGAAATAGGTAGTTGTTTTACTGTTGTCAAAAGCAATAATAAATTGTCATGAACTGAAATTATAACAAAGCGAATACATAGAATCTTTACAGCACAAAACATCTCTTAATGTATACCTCGAAAAGGTGCTTAGTATAAGTCTCAGTTACATGAGAAATATCCCCGATGATATATCTGGTTTGTTGATTTCTATTCCAGTTGTGTAGCTGTGTTGTCAAACTGCTGCCATGCTAAATTAGGGATTCAGTGTGTCTGTAGAAATCGCAGAAACACGTTCAAATTTCGGAAATTAATTTATGCTGATGATCACATCTTAATTTCATCAGAATATACTGTATTCTTCTCTCAATGTAGACTGACGTTTTTCAAATCCCTGGCCTGTCGTTATAGAATGAAAGTTGTAGTGATGTTGGGGTATTTGTGTAGAAGTATGTTGAGGTATTAATTCACAACAACACTGTAATGAAACCTACAATGGAACTGCGGCTCATAGGTCTAGACGCTCGAATTCCGACCATCTGATCACGAGTTCTTCGCCTATAGAGGTTTGGACATCCTTCACACAAATAGGTGTGGCTCATTATATGGGAATCCAAACGTCTATTTCTTCTTTTGTTTCATCATTGAAACTTACTGGGTCATTTGTATTTATTAAGGTCTTGTGCTAGCATTTCAGTGGATCTGAGTTATAAGTTCATCTACTACCTCACGCATTCTTGTAATCCATGTGAATACCTATAGATACAGTGCTCTAGATGTGACATTTTAAAATAAGTCGATAAAAAAGGATTACATCAAACATGATATCCACTATGAAATTACTCCAATCACTTCTCGATTTTTTTTCATTTGGTTGTTGGTATATTTTCTTTGATAGTGACCACCAGTGGAATCTACACCGCCATTAACCAAAATGACACTGCGCATCAGTTGTAGGAACCGACATGTCATTCATCGGAGACTGAGCATTTCTCTCCAATATAATCAAACGACGGGAAATGCAGATTAACCTTTAAAAAGTAGCTATCGTATAGCTTACATATAGGTTGAAATAGCTGTTACAAGGAAATCATTGTTTATATGAAGAAATTATGTTGGAACTAAGGTGAATTTACGACAATGCTAGTCTCCATAAAAATCAGAGTTCAGATTATTTTTTGTAAATCAAATGTTTGTGCGTCGGTGGCATAACGGTTAGGACGCTCGCCGACCGTGCACATGGTCCGGGGTTCGATCCCCGGCCGACGCACTCCTTTACCTCGCTGAGCCAGAAATAGTTCTGGTAAAGAGGAAAGGTTGGGCATGAGGCTAGCAACCCCATCCTGTAAAATAAACACTGCTACAGAAACTTCAAGCCAACTAGCTTGAAGCCCTATGTTCCACTGGGGAAGGTGAAAGAAAAAAAAACAAATGTTTGTTTATTTAACCGATTGCGCATCAACTGTTTCTTTTGTATCAATAATGAGCTTAACAGTCTATAAATTTGCAAGTCTTTTTGATGAAAGAAAAAAAACTTGTCACTATGGCGTATAGATTACATAACCTTGATCTGTAATCAAATTATTGATTACAAAGTGAAAAAACACAAGAGGTACTTTGTAAACTTATTGATTAAAACTTTGTGAAAAAGTTTTTTCTGCTTTTTTCACATGAAAAGAATTTCTTTAGATTATAAAGAAAATAGTGAATCGTTTGTTTTTAAAGTATTAAATTTGTTGTTCTTCATTTCTTGTTTAAATACTTTGATTATAGACTAGAACAAGCTTAAATGTTATAATTGAAGATTGTCAGTTATATCTTATTGAGGAATGTTTTAACCTTACAAAGACTCTTTGTACACTAAAGTAGACATTTCTCACATCAACTGCTCTGAATAAACTTGGTCGATGTGTGTGAATGGCAACAGCCAAATTTTAAGATGAAAATAACTGAACATTCCAGTTTGATAGACTGATCAGCGGTATAGTTGACCTTGTGTCATTATGGTCGTAACTGAATACAAGATTAAGAACAGTCAATCTAGTGGATGCCGACAAAGGGTTTATAATTCAAGGAGAAATTATTTGCTAAGTAGAAAAGGTATCTAATTCCAAATAAAGCGCACTTTATTCTTGTAAGCTAGTAATTTTGTCGATTTGTTCACGTGTAAACAGATGAAGCCAGCTGGAAGCGTTGCGTATTGATTTAAAGACCCGATTTCCTGCTAATAAGTTCCATCTTAGCTACTGTGGCCTGGACAACTGGATTATATCATAACACTTTAAGCTTGCTGTATTACCTGTATCGAAAAACTAATACGCGCTACTTTTTTTCAATATTCTTCCACATGGCTGCAAAAAGGTAATGTTGGCTGTATAAGGAGTGCGATACTCGAACATCTCGTCAACACTAACCATTCCATCTCAACAAACACCTCCTTCAAATTGATCTACATAGTGAAGAACAACCTACCAAAGGCAATACGCTTTTGTCTCCTTTGTATTGCTGAAGCTTTAGCCATTCAGTTGCAGAAACCAGAGTTATGCATACAAAGGAAAATCACCCAACCACTTCTACTATCATGGTAACAACCGTGTTGACTTCTACTGACTTGATGTTTGTATGCTTGTTTTTTTCTAACTCCTTGTAATATTGATATAAGAATAAAACTTGTGCACTGTGGTAGAGTGTAATTCCATTATGGGTAAATTTTGTTTTGATAAAGTCTCACAGTGTTATACAGTAGTGTTTACTGATGACGTTTCGAGCACAATTTATTGCTCATAATCATATTTTGTAATTTTTATAACTCTTACATAATTTTTTTTACGAGTTGATCACGGATTGATATCAGCTAGAGAACCATTGAAAACTAGGGAGTACTGGACAGCTGTTTCATCCTAGTTTGGGAATCATCGGCAGTACTCACTCCCTGGGGTTCGAACCCAGGACCTCCCGGTAACAAGGCAAGCTCGTATACCATTCAGCCACTGGGACCCGATTCAATGGCTCATGAATTCTAACATAATTCCATATTTTCCTTTGTTTCTATGTGCATCCTAATCACAACTCACTCATTAACCCATTCATCTTATTACGCAACTGTATCACGCTTATTCAACTTCTTTTATGTGTTAATAAATATGTTTTTGACAACACATCACCACTACTCTCCTACTAATCTTCACCCCCCCCCCCTTAGTTACAGTTTGATAACTCATCACACTCTTGAGATGTCTTGACAACAATAACCCTAACTTATTTTTATTCTTATTGGACAAACTTAATGTACACACACATACAAAATTGAGTATGTATAATTGTGATTGTACAGCTAAGTGGATGAATTCGCTGAAAAGAGACTTCGCCGAAGTACGTGCTTTATTTTTATTAATGTCTGGTTGGGGATTATTCATGAAATATTGTTCCAACTTTAAGTGGTTTTCTTTGTATCCAATCTTCAAATTTGTTAACCCTTTCCACGCACATTCAAACAGCTACTCATTTGGTTCAATCACTAAACAGTCAATGAAGAGAGGATAACTCATGGTGCATATACGTAAAATTACAATTAGGAAGCTTTTCTTCGTTAAAATATCAAACGACTGTGGTGAAAGAAGACTAAGTTTCCAATCAAACTGTTTTTTTCTTTAATTCAACCGAATACATGTAATGAATAATATTCGTTGATAATCTGCATTACATTTCATAAATCAAAAAGTTAACAGTGAAAGTTCATGTTAACCTGTTCGCATAGTTTTACTTGTTTCCGTCTTTTTGAATTTAACTGAATGCAATTTACTTGAACCATGTGTGTTGTTCTGATAGTTCTGAAACGATAGATAAAAGTGAAGAGATATTTTGGTGTCAGTGGATAGAATGGGATATGAGACTGTAACAGCAGAACACAGTGGTATTTTGTATTTATTTGGCAAAATGCAGAAACCTGACACACTAGAATTTCCTCTCGTATTTCGCCTCTTTTGTCTACGTCTCATGCTTTCTATACAGTTTCACAAAGATTTTCATTTCTCCATCGCCGCAGGCTTTAAAATCCTTGCAGAAGTCTTCACACACGATATACCACTTATAAATTCTTGTTGGTAGCACACTACCATTACAAGCAGACAGTTTGTGTAAAATCCTTAATCAAATCTTATACTAAACATAAGTTTATGAGTTGGAGGACAGCGTTGTTTTACTCATCCAGGCATGACATTTAATGGCTGAATAAAGTTCAACTTTGTGAAAAAGTATTTACGTCAGATCTATTGCGCATGTCTTTCACGGCTTTGAAGTGTCGCAAAGTCGAGGTACTTTTTTTGTCTTCGACTTGAATTATCGGACTTATATGCAATATCAGTTAATTTATTCTTTGAACCCGTCATTTTGAACTTCCCAATGATTGATTTCGTTGACATGAAATGTATAGCTTGTTGATATGTTGGCTTCTTGTTCCGACACTTCAACGATACCTTTAGGTGGTTTGAAATAATGGGTGAAGGGTTTAACTCTCAGGGAAGGCACCATCATTTCCCGGAAATGTAGGTATATCTAGCTGACGAATGACAAATAGAAGGAAACGTGTGTCCTGAATTCCACTGCTAGCCTCCATCACCCAACTAATTTAGTCTTCAGCCTGCTATGGTTATTTGAAGAGTTATTGAACGAAGGGACTCAACTTATCTTAGGGGTTTTCAAAATGAGTATCAGTCACTAAAACAGAAGTGCTGCTTGAGGAGATAGGCAACTGAAGTACGAATCTATGCAGATTAAATGAACTTCAGGTTACAGATTCAAATGTATTGTCTGATTTTTTTTTCAATCTGTCTGATCGTGCTCAGCACTTTCTACGGCTCTGTCATTAGTAATGGTGATCAATTAGATTTATTCACTGTAAATCCTGATAGGTATGTGAAGGATTTTTTGTCTATTGAGCTTCCACAACATGATAAACAGGAGCTCTTACTTGGATTCAAGTTTTCTATCCCATCAGCCAATATATTTAATTTTGCAACTGATGCCCATTTAAAAAATCTTTATGATCAGTTGAATCGCCTAGTTTATACCTCGTCAGATAATCAAAGCTGAATTCGTTGATGCTGCGCATCAGTCCAGATCGAAGACGAAAACTCACTTTGACTTCTCGACACTTCAAACCTTAGAGGAACTACAATGGACATGTGACATAACTGGTTGGAGGATTTCATCATGAACTGACGTCAGTTAGAGAACCTGGGAGTACTGGGCAGCCGTTTCGTCCTAGTTTTGGGACTCTTCAACAGTACGCACCCATCAAGGTCCAAACCCAGGACCTTCTGGTTACAAGGTAAGCTCGCATACCGTTCAGCCACTGGGACCCGATTCAGTGGCCCACGAATTCTAACTTCTGCCAAATCATGACATAGCGCGACCACTTTGCAATGTCTTCTTCGATGAGCTACTGCTTCACCTTCAACCTGCAACACCCTATTGGTCACAGCTTCCCATAACTGCCTGAATAGGGCAGTCGCTAGTGAGCATCAGATGAATTTTCAAGTATTGGTTTTGTAGGGATTTTGTGTGTTTGATTGGTTGGAAGATTTCATCATGAGCTGACATCAGTTAGGAAACCGCTGAAAATGTGACATAATTATCCTAAAACTTGAAAAATAGATTAAGTGTAGTTGTTAATAAATTAAGAAGTATTAGTTGATTTCTTTATTATTTGTAGACAGAAGCCAGTTTGTATTCAGATAAAATCAACTGTCAACTTTATTAATGAATTTTACTGGTATAACTTGAATTCATTATTTATCTACGCTCACCAGAAATATGTCTTTATTAGTTTTGGTGAATTGTTGCTTTCTCATCAGAATTAATTGAAACGTGTATGTAAATTAGAGATACCTGCTTTCGTATCACCGACGGAAATTCCATCGTATATATATGCACATATATGTATATATATATATATATATATATATATATATTGACACCAGACGATATAGTCCTTCTAGGCGAGGACGCTGACAAAATGCAGAGTCTTTTGAACACCTTGAGCTGCAATCTACGAATGTTTGGCATGCGATTCGCTCCCGCCAAATGCAAGATGATGTTACACGATTGGACTACACCGACTCCTAGATTAGAAATAGGAAGTGAAGTGGTAGAGCACGTTGACCGCTTCACTTACTTGGGAAGTACCATCAGCCGGTGCCAACGGGTTGATCTCTGACGAAATCTCAGCACGAATACAGAGGGCTAATTTCGCATATGCCAGTTTACGCCGTCTCTGGCGTAGACGTGATATCCGACTATCGACTAAAGGACGTGTGTACTGCTCATCAATCCGCTCCGTCCTCCATTATGGCTGTGAGACCTGGCCATTGAGAGTGGAAGACATGAAAAGATTAGCTGTCTTCGATCATAGGTGTCTGCGTTCTATCTCCCGTGTTAGGTGGTAGGGGTAACAGGGTGAGCAATATTGAGGTTAGGCATCGGTTGAGTGCTAGGTAAGGCGGGGAAATCAATCAACGAGGATGTGAAGCTACATCGACTGAGATGGTTAGGACATGTGTTACGTATGCCTAGTCATCGCCTTCCTCGACAATGGGCAATGTTAGCTGATATAGGGTCGGCGGTCAAACCAAAACATGGTACCAGTCAATGAAATCTACAACAGTTAGTCTAGGCCACGTAGGAAGGTGTAGACTTCCTGGTTGGGGTCCTCAAGACGGTAAAAACCAATGGTTGGAAACAATTGGTGATATGGTTCAAAGTCGTTCTCAATGGCGCAGATGCATCCACTCCTTGTGACTTATGATTTCCAATGAAGCTGTTTTGCTCTTCGTTATTACTATTCCTTTGTCTCACACCTCTGTCTTTGTTTACTGTCTCTATTATGCATTTCTTCTCTTGCTTTGTGTGCTACATGGAGTGTGGCGACTTGAACTGCCGCACATATGTGCAAAGTTCTATGTCGAAAACAGACAGACAATCTCAAAAACAACATACTCACCCTGTACAATTCGAGAAAAAAAGGCAGCGAAGCTATTGGAAATAGGAAATGTCAACATTTTCCGCGTAATCGCTTGGTGTCAATTGGCGAATTTCCGAATTGTGAAATGGATTGGTAAAATGTAAATCAATATGTTGTGTTTCATTTCCATAAGGCTTTTCGTTTAAAAAAAGTGTGATTGTACTGTGTGGAAAGACTGAGATTGTATAAACCAACCAACCACATTCACCTAATAACCGGTGTAGAACAAAGGTATTATCATACGTGACGCAACTACCTAAAATTGATGTTAGTATAGTTGTTGTTGTCTGATTTCCCACAAACTGGAAGATATGCAAGTGAAAAGCAACAAGTTGGCAGAAGAAGCATCCAGAGAAGGTAGGCCTTCAGGTGGACATAGAGAAAACAGAGGTGATGAAGATTCCTGGTCAACAGCAACAACAACAGACAACAATCAGCATAAATGGGAGGAACCTGAGAGAAACAACCTCCTTCACCTACACACCCACCTGGGAAGCATCGTTTCAACTACAGGTGGAACTGACGAGGATATCAAAGCAAGAATCGGAAAAGCAAGACAAGTTTTCACTAATCTCAAGTCTGTGTGGAGGTCAACAGCACTCAGCATCAAAAATAACATCCGGATTTTCAACTCCAACGTGAAGTCCGTGCTGTTATACAGATCAGAGACTTGGCGCGTCATAAAGAGCACTTGAAACAAACTACAGACCTTCATCAACAGATAGTTGTCTTCGCTCAATACTCAAGATCAGATGGCCAGAAAAGATCAGCAACAGGGATCTCTGGGAGCGAACCAACCAGGAACCGATTGTGAAACAAATAGGCAGGAAGAAATGGAGATGGATTGGCCATACTCTTAGGAAACCATCAAGTGACATCACTAGACAAGCCATTGCTCGAGTGGAACCCAAAAGGGAAGCGGCGAGTTGGTCGTCAGTGCAAGGGTGACTTGGAGGAGGTCATGTGAAGAGGAGATGAAAACGTGTGGGCAGACATGGAGCCAGGTGAAGACTCTAGCAGAGAATCGAACGCAATGGAGACGCAAGGCTGAAGCCCTATGTTCCTCTAGGAATTAAAGGAAACAATAATAATAATAGTTGTTAACGCAGTCAGTCTTATTTGTAGAAAACGCCTACTTTACATGTGTGAATGTTAGTTTTCCCGTCATCTAATCGTTATGAAATGCGAAAAAAAACAAGATATTTACTCAGTCATAATGCAGTGCAGTAGTGACTTGTGGTTCATCTCTTCAAAATTATCAGCCCTGATAAATCATCATCCTTAACTTCACCTTGAAATGTCTTTCACTAGGTTATCGAAAGTTATTATTATTATTGCAAGTGCTACCAGTCTGTGACAAAAGACAAGACTTAGTAATTCTGCGCTGTAATTGGTTGTTCACACTGATTGCTCATGCATACCGTGTAGGTTGATCAGCAAATCAGCTAGGCGTACACACACATACAATAAACAGTACATTCAAGGTCAACCATTTGCTAAGCACGATCTATTGATTGGTTGATAACACAATTTGATGTTACATTGAGTTACGCATAACTGTATGAATGTGTGTGTGCAAAAATACGAAAGTTATTTATCAAATGTGTTTCATAAAACAGAGCACAACTACAAGAGGTCTAAGAAATCAAATTAAAACAAAACAAGAATAATAATCACAAATTATATGTTGTGATGCGAGTACAATGATTTATTACAAACAGTAGGAAACCAATGTCTTCAAATAAAATGCGTCTGGAGCAAAGGAAGCATACTAGTTTATTATCTGAACTGAAAACTGTTCTGTCAACAACTGATAAGAAAATAGAAGTGGGCAAATCTATATTCAGACAGTGAGTAATAAACTAAAAAGTTATTTTAAATGTCTAAAACATTTATTTACAAATTTGTCCAAATGAATACTCATGTTATTTATCATTTAATTCAAAAGTTTTCAGTAGAAGAAAATTGGAATTCAGTCAAGAACATAAATGATAATTCAGTTACACCTTATAATTATATTCCAATGGTTGTTTACATACAATGATTAGTTTTCATTTTGGTAATATTTACAGCAAAATTAAGTGTATAGGTTAATGTTTATTGTGAAGGAAGACTCAACTTTTAATAAAATATTGATCTGATGCTGTAGTAATGGTTTTTAAACACCTGAGCATATATATATGTAGAAAGAGAATTTTGTTTCTCCACTTGTGGAAGTTAGATTAATTTCAACGTAAACTTTGTGAATAACTGACAGTGGTGATTGTACTTTACTGTGGAATCATATGCTTCTAATCATATCCAATTGGATTTCCACAAAGGCCACTGAACAGTAACGAATGCAATTAAAAACTCAGCTTATTTGGGCTTAACTCTTAATAATAATTCGTGAATGTAACCTTCTCAATAGATGCAAAGCAGAAAAAAATGCAATCTATTACTCCTTGCTTTTCAGTGATTTTAGATTGTGTCCTGTATAACGAAATCTGTGTAGAAACTGTCTTGCTTCATTTTACTAAATAATAAGGATGTAAATTCTGCGTAATCTGAAAATGCTTTTTTATACTGAAGTCCTTTTTAACAAAAACAGACTTCATGTTTGCTTGATAGAATATATAATAACACTTTGACTTACATTTAATGACATCTTTGTGTGTCTTTTAGAGCCTTGAAAACATGAGACAATTTACTTCCCTGCGAGATTCTATTTTGGTTTTTCTATCTCGAAATGTCAACAGTGATACATCCTAAAGAAATCAAATAGGTCTAATAAACGTAAAAAGAAATAGACTGGAAACACCGTGCTTATATTAGCAGTTCGCTGAAGTCCCAGAGCCAAGGCGTTAACATGATTTGTGTTTCTGAGCTAAAGCAGTATGAGTACATTACTGATGAACTTGTTTTGAAACAAGGGAAAAGATCATTAGCATATAGAACATCCTGACCGGGATACTGACTAACTTGCTTGGAATCTTTCTCAATTAGTTATGTAAGTCGGTAGTATGTATTATGTGCTATTGATTGTCTTCGGCATATCAAATTGTTAAGTAAATCATGAGAAGACTTAAGACATGGCTCTGTATTTTGCAAGCACCTGGTCTATTACCGGAAACTAGATCCACTCTGTTAAAATTTTACTTCAAGACGTGTTTAGGTTGCTTTAAGTTACTTTTTGGTATATGAACAAAACACCTAGTTTAATAGAATCACTGTTTCACTTTTAAAATTACCTATGACCAAGAAATCATTACTAGTTAACTCTAATTTTAACAATACCATATTAGAACCCTTTGTGCTATTAAAATAACTCAAAACCTATTTACGCGCTCCAGATTTCATCTTCATTTATGGCCTAACCATAAAGTTAAAAGAAGTAGTAATTCCTATCTACTATGTAGAAAGCTGTGCCTAATTGTAAATTACGGATTGTAGCCAGGTTTAAGTATCTGTTGTATTCATTATTTTGTACGGCACTTCACAATGTCTCTGAATTTATACCTAGAAACAGTAAGAGCCCTCCTCAGTAATTACCTGACGAAATTTAAGCAATGAAGCAGAAGTATGGTTTGATTTTTGCCAAAATATTGGACTGCCAATTAAGAATCAGATTCACTGAGCAACAGAGCGCTAAATCCTTCCATATAGCTAAAAAACAACTTTAAGAATGCATATTTATGAAGACAAAATGTATTCGACTATTGTTTTCCTAATTGAACAGTCACTCTTGATGAAACCACGATGTAAGCAATATAAAAGTCAATAGTTCACTAGGTGATATTATCTAATCTGTGCATATGCATTGCACAAACTTATTCCTGCCCATCGCTACTTTACAGAAAATAAGATTAGACTGGGAGTAGACAAGGTGAGGTTAGATCAAGACTATGTAAAAATCCATAAATTCACTGAATGTGGATCTGAGATGTTTAAGGATGTGTGGATTGATCGGTTGGGTCGATGTGACCTCCAGAATCTGAGGCTAGACTTTATGGGATTAGTTTCAGGTTTGACTATACAGGAGTACATGCATTTATGCTATATTTCCCTCTCTGTTATACCTTTCTTCCTCTCCTTTTTTTGTCTTGTAACACTCTTCTTCTTCTTATATCTTTGTTTAGCCTTTCTATTACCTTATAAATGGCGGTTAGATATAAGATTTGGCAACGCCGATCGATACTCAATCTTATCTTTACAATATCCATATGAATTTTATTTTGGTTTAACATTTTAATAATGTCAACCATTAGGAACTATAGATATAGAGTAAAAATAATTAACTGTTCTGTAGTTAAATCTGGTAACTTATTTAGTCTAATGAAACATTTGCATTTGGCCATTAGATTCTTGCTACTTTACTATCATCCTTCGTTTATTTTCATTTATTTTTTATGAATTGTTGTATTATGTATTGGCAATCTAAGCATTATTAAGGAGAACGTATTGCAATAAAAGGTATTTATTCCTTTTAATGTACAACAGAACAACATTGTTCGTTCATGTGACTATTCTTCATTATTATTAGTAGTAGTGTAACAACAGAAGGCAAGACACGGAGGTCAAGGTATATTTTCCATTGATCAAACCACTTTTTATATGTATACAGTTTATATTCTTTAACCAATCACTGAGCGTGTGATTTTGGTTTACATCAAACGATATGAAATAGAATGTTCAAATATACATAATATTGTTTTGTCAATATAGTATATAACCGTGGGAAATGTATTTTGTCTGTAACATCAAATAGAATGTCCAAATAGATATATAGTATCCTGTTGCTACTGCAGTTTGAACTGTAGGAACATGTGAGAATAATATTCCGTTGGCACGCTCTGTCTGTATCATACCACCAGAGTGGTATTCTGTATGCTCTATGTGAATTTATACTGTAACTAAATCTCTTACTGGCAAGAGTAAACAATATACACCAACTTCAGACAACCTTGAAACAGCCAATCAGATAGCTCAGCATTACAAATGTATGCTAGTCACAATCCTCGTTGCATGTGTCTCCTAGATTTGGTTTCTGAATTCTCTGTGGAAAATGGGTTGATAGGGTAGACTAAAACATGCATATGTGGAGAAATAATGGCTCTGAAAAAGTATTGCCGGGCTATTGGTGGTTATGCATTCACATGCAGCCACTTTATATGAGGATGTCTGTAAGGGTTGCTAAGTCGCACATAATGGTGATTTTTTAGACACTTCTGAAAATCGAAACTCTCCATTAGTAATACATTGAGTATATGCGACCAGTATCTGCTACAGCTGTGTAAATACTGAATACACTGGTTTGATATGTCTATAAACACATCTTCTAGAAAATGGGGCCAGTTTTTGCAGCATTTCAGAGATATTTACCCTGTATGATTCATTTTTATTGCATATATATCATAGGCACACTTTTTTTGTAAATTAAGTACCACTTTTCACCTAGAAGAATTTGATTGGCTGTCTCAAGGTTGTCTGAAGTTGTTGTCTATTCTTTACTGTTGCCCTCTTATTAGTTCATGTAAGCTTGGTTACCTCTTGTCTCCTAATATAAACTGGCATTTTCGCCGGTCAAAGTGCTTTCATTTTGAAGTAAACCTGTATACCAACAAACCACTTTATTTTTATTTTTATGCCTTTACGTCCCCAATGGAACATAGAGCTTCAGGAGAGAAGCTTGAAGTTTCAGTAGCAGTGGTGTTTATTTTTACAGGATGCGGTTGCTAGCCTCATACCCAACCTTCCCTCTTTACCATTCTTATTACTGGTTAAGCGAAGTAAAAGGAGTGCGTCGACCGGGGATCGAACCCCAGGCCACCTACTTGACTGGTGAACATTCTACCGATGTGCCACCGAATCAGAGGAGTGATTTTTCAATATTCATACTATAGTTAATCATATTATTTCTTGGGAAAATGTTAATTTTTCAAAGATAAGACCAAAAGTTCATTTTTAAAGTAGTTACCTGTTCGAACCTTCATTGAATTTTGTGAAAGTAGATGGTAAAAATAATACGTTTAGTGTTTCTTGAATATTATGAGTGCCAAATAAACATTAAGTGTGCAAACATTATCACCAAAAATCCTTTTATTACCAGTTATAAAACTAATGTAAATGCAGTTTGCAAAAGATATCGGACAGATGAGCCTGTGGGAAATCTTTAGACTAACTGATTACTTGTAAAAGTTTATGTCTTTGATTGGTATTAAATAGAGGATTCATAAAATGCAAAGAAAAGAGGTTACCCGCAATACATGCCTATTTTTCTATACGAAATCGAGTGTAAAACTCTTAATTTCCAAGTTCATCACCTTCTAACCAGTATTAGAATCTAGTAATTACCAACCTCCCTTACTTCACAGCCGGCATGGCTGTTAAGAACACTACTTGATACTTTCAGTCAACTCGTAAACGAAGGGGCGGCGTGGTAAAAGACCTGTATGTAACAAAAGCGCAAAAAATTTTTAACATCGATATGATTCTAATAATCTAATACGAGTGGACCAGAGTATGCATATATTCAAGTAAAACAAAAATATAATCTTAGCGTAACATTAAAATTTCATTCTGCTGAGTTGTTTTTCAATTTTTGACTTTAATACGAGTGTTTTTTAACCTATGACAAGCAATGTAACTCTAAATCCTAAATCGATGGTAGATAGATAGTTGTACTCATTATAAACGGCTTATACGGTAAGTTAGTCGTCACCTGAGTGATATAAGTTGAGATTCTCATAAAAGATTGGTTTTCTTTTAAGTTTCAGTATGTTTTACTGGGAAAACCTAGTAAGCTTATACTTTAGATGAAGCAGGATCTTGTGAGACTGACTAGTAATATCTAACATAAAATATACGGTCT